TTTCCACACCCCTTTATCTACATCCAGCTTGTCCCCAGAGTTGCTCTTGAATGACCCTTGTGGAACAGAACTAACTGTTCCCTTTTTATGCTCTCAAAGCACCAACAGATCCCAGCAGAATAACACCATCTCATCACAGTGTAATTTTGTTTCCAGGGAGAATAATGAACTCTGTGTGCAAGAGTAGGAATTACATGAACATCCATGGGAACTGTGAGCAGGGACACTACTCTAGAAATGATTCAGACATAGAGGAGGTGCTTAAGAACTGTCCACTTTCCAGAATTCCAGATTCTTATGGAATCCAGATTTTCTGGAGGCATAGAGGCTGGATTAACCCCCAAAACTGTTGCCCTGGGATAATCTTTAAGCCCTAAGTCAAAAATATCTCCCAAAGTCTTCTTTAAATCAAACAAAAGTTTAGCTCAATTAGTAAAGACTGTCTGCCTTGAGCTCTGCCAAGAAGCTCTGATGGCACAATGCCTAAGGCATTTGATTTCTAACCAAAAGGTGGTGGTTCAAACCCACCAGCTGCTCTGTGGAAGGAAGATGGGGCAATCTACTTCTGTAAAGATTTACAGTCTTGGAAACCCAGTGGAGGTCACTAAGAGTCAGAATTGACTCAATAGCAGTGTGCTTTTTTGGTTTTGGTCTGCCTGGAGCACTGTGCTCTTTTAAAGAACTGTCCATATGGGATCAAATTGACAACAACAACTCAAAAGGTTAGATATGAAGCTTACGGGGCAGTGAGTTCATGTTAATGGGGAAGGAACGATTCAGAAAAGGAGGGTGAGAATGGTTGCACAACTTGAAGAATGTAATTGTTGTCACTGAATTGTACGTCTAGAAATTGTTAAATTGGTGCATATTTTGCTGTGTATATTTTCAACAACAAAAATAAAATAAACTACTAAAAATAAAAAGGAAAAAGAAACGTTCACTTTCTCTGTCTGCCTTTCTACCCAGACCGTGGGTGGGACTTCCACCCCCTTGTGCTCCTACAATACTTGACAGACAGCAAGAGCTCAAAACATATCAGTTTCTCCCCTTCCCTCAGCGGTAGCACCTCAGAAATGGGATAAAGTGTGAAACTCCTTGTTTAGGATTCTCAGCCTAGAGGCTCATGGTGGGTCCATGGTAATCACGTCACTACTCCAAACAATCACAGGCGAAGGGAATTGAAATTTTGGTAAAAATTCCTTTCTAGATAGTTAGGCCTCATGTACCAGCGCCTGCTGAGAGGCAAAGAGTTGACCCAGTAGCTTCTGCTTCGTGCAGCTTTTCCTAGCCCTACAGAGACTATGTCCCACTGCTACATGTATGATTATCTGACATAAAGGTAAGGATGGAAAAAAGGAATGGCTATGTTCTCTTGTGTATGAGAATTCTCCTGCAGGACACTGGCGTGGTTTTGTCTGCTAGAGAAAATAGAACCCAAGACCATAGGAATGTTCAGAATCTAGCTTGTGACTGTGTTTTGGCTCACAACATATCATCAATCAAAAGATGAACTTGTACTGGTCAAGTTGACCCAACCAGGAGAGTCTAATTTAGTAAGCCAGTCACCCTAAGTAAAATCTCTACTTAAGCCTTAGGAGGGGCTGATCACTGGGTCTTAAGGCTCAGCCTACCACCCACTTCCGATGACTTAAAGGTGAGCGACCTATGAAACCCTGGTTCTAGGGTGGTGGATGGCATGTGTTATACCATGTCCTTGTAGTCCTCAGACACCCAATCATTCTCCTGCTACTCTCCTGAAATCAGAAATAAGGAGCCACTAACACTGGGATCAGAGTTCCTGAGTGATGCAAATGGGTAACTCAGCTACTAACCAAAAGGTTGGAGGTTCAAGGCCACCCTCAGATTTATTTCTGAAAATAACTAATGAAAACCCTATGGAACAGTATTCTGAGACCCATGGGGTCGCCATGAGTCAAAGTCGACTCCGTGGCTACTGCTTTAACCCTGGGATGGCCATGGCAAGGTGCATTCCGCATTGTTTTCTGTCCAGGAGTCATGAATATAAGAACAGAGATTGATGCCATTTTAACTTTTTCTGTTTTTTCCCCCAGACACCCAAACACTGAAACCAGGTAGCACACAGAGTGAAAGATTATCGTGTGGGGCCATTCCATAGCAGTGGGCCAGGAGCCTGCAGGAGGTGGTCCCTGAGATACAAAGGGGGCCTATGGGAGCCTTTCAACATGACTTCCAAGCAGAATTCATTTCTTACTCCATGTTCCCACAGACTTTATATACAAGACTTA